TCTTGATGACATACAATAACAACAGCAATACTTTAATCAGGTACCTGGTAGTTTAAAGTCATAAAGAAATGAGCTGTGTACTGAAAGTTCTGTGGTTGTTAATAACAGACAACACAAGTATCAAAATCATTTGTCAATTCCAAGACACATGTAGTGGGGTGTAGCCTTCTGGCCATTTTGTAATCAATACGGTGAAGGAATAAGGGCTGTGGGGGTGGTTGCTGAGTGTGGAGTCCCACAGGGCTGGATGAAGCAATTGTTTCTATGCTGGAGGAAAACATAGTTGCTACCTATAAGAAATACGGCAAGAGTTACCCTTTTGATTATTAAGGCTACCACACACACTATATTCAAGAGAAATATCGTGAAATGCTCCCCTTTAAGCTCTTGGTCTAGCAGCATTTTTTCAGAACTATTGTTATATAGCAAAATGGATTTATTCCTCTTTTGTTTGGCTGGAAATTTGTTCACTGTCTTATATGAGGGGTTAGAAAGTATAAATGAAAAAGAAAAACAACTAAATTAGAGACATTACTGGACAATTGTCAAACTAGGAAACTGTTCTCTGACCAACCAGGAGATGGCTATATCTCTCCAAATGCTATGTTTCAGTTTTAACACATTAAAAATGTAGGAATCACCTACAATGTGGTGTGAAGAGATGAACTGGGCCAGTGCGATGAAAGTGTCTCATAAAGAAAGTCAACAGAAAAACTCTGCTATCTCCTGAAAGAGTTCATGACTCACTCGAATGCTTCCTAAACCTGGATGTGAGATGAGACATAGTCTGAGAAGGAAGTAAAGTGTCTAGAAAAACTTCTCTACAAGTTAGCAAAGCCTTAGTCAGCCAGCAAGGTCACTGAGTGACTCTCTCACAAAGCCGGCTGACTCTGTAATCGGATCCCAGTTACCTGTTAGCAACACAAGGGCTGGATGGGGCTGTTCCTCGTAATTTATGTGGGTCCTTTCCTTGGTCATAAGGAAATCTATGTGGTCTCAACAGGGAACTAGGGTAATGTGATTTCTTATAAAATCAAGGGCTGAGGTTGTAAATCCATGAATGGCAGTAGTTTTATTTGTCTCTAAGTCTACTCATCTGGCTTGTTCATTTCCACTAAGTTAAGGCAAACCAGTCAACCAAATCTCTTTGGGTTTTGTCCTATTCTAGGTACTAAATTTAGCTTTCCTTCTACCCCTTCTTCATGAACGTTAAATTCCCTTAGTCAGAAGGAAGCATCAGCATTTTAATGCTAATGAGAAAAAGGCAAAAGCATCCCATGCTAAAAATCCTCTTTTAATTCTGAGAAAACTTGGGATAACACAGACAAATTCCTATCAGTCCTATTTGTGAAAGGAAAGGATAAAGCATTTTAGGACTAAAGAAAGCTGGTTCTTCTATATTTCCTTACAAGTCTTCAAAAGGAGCAGAATCTGAGTTTTAAGGGGGAAAAAAACCCCCAACAACACTAAAATGTTAGCAAATTGTTTTTACTTCTAACCTCTTTGGTTCATCAATTTGCCTAAGAACATGAACTAAGTTAATTAAGATGTTTGATTCTGATGGCAATTATAGGAAACCTACTGGTTCTGTGGTTAAGTGCTCTAGCTGTTAACCAAGAGGTCAGAACTCACCAGCCACTCCACGAGAAAAAGATATGGCTGCATGCTTTTATAGATCAGAAAATTCCCTGCAGCAATTCCACATCGTCACACTGATTCATTAAAAGTTGGGATCAACTTGATTAATGCCAGAAGGTTTCATTTGGGTTTTATAACATTTTTAATCTTTTTTATTAATCAGGCCCTTATACTCTCTGAACTTTTGCATTTTCTATTTTCTACTCCAACTAAGACCATTCTCTGTAGCTCTACTATTATATCCAACAAATACTATATAGTAATTGACCAAAAAAGGCAGTATTAGAATCTAAAACATATTTCTATATATGTTTTATCAAATAAATAAGAAACTGCAAAAGTAGTAATTTTACTGAGTCATCCACTGTTCTAAGCAACCACATCTGTTGTTATCATTAAGTCATGACAATCTAGAAGATATGATTTTTATTAAAATATGATTCTTAAAAAAATATGATTCTTATTCTTATTTGACTAAGGATGACAGAAGAAGAATCAATGCCTTTGAGTTGCGGTGCTGAAGAAGAGTCTTGAACATACCATGGGACCGCCAAGACAACAAATATGTCTGTTTCAGAGAGGGTGAAACCAAGTCTTCCCTTCCAGGCTAGGATTTTGAAGCTCCGTCTCACATATTTTGGGCATGCGGTCAGGAGAGACTGGTCCTTGGAGAAGGACATCATGCTTGGTAGGGTGTAGGAACAGCACAGGAGAGGAAGAGCCAGATGAGATGGATTGTATATCTGAGGCAATTGGGTTTATTGTGTCAGAATTAGTGAGACTGGCTCAGAACAGGGAAGGACTCAGTGTTGCTGTACATAGAGTCCCTATACATAGCAGGTGACTCAAAAGCACTTAACAACAAAAACAAACTATATTGGTTGTTTTTATTTAAGCCTCTTGTTTAGAGTCAACAAGACCTTAGGGAGGGCTATTGTATTTAAAAGTTGGCTGTCACTTTATTTTGGAGAAACATTCTTCTAAATAGTACAGCACTCTTCTGTCAATATGCTGTAGTGAGATAACCTGGGGTTGCTATGATGCTGAACCTTGTGCCACTGGGGTGTCAAATGCTATAATGGCTACCCATGTTGGACAGTGTTTGGTGGAGTTCCCAGTTTAAGAAAGGTTTGGAAACAGGAGTGACATCCCCTTCCTAAACAACATGCTTCTGGAAACCTTATGAACTTTGAGAAATGATGATAGTTATACAAAGGCTTCACGCCTTTTGTTCATAAGGTCGCTATGAGTCGTGCTCAACTCGACGACAATCAACAACAACAACATTACCTTTTACCCATAAGGACTGAGGTGCAGAAAAGTTAAATAACTTACCTTAGACTACGCAACTAGTATGCAGAGGTGTATTTAACCATGATATTTTACTGGGCAGTAAATACTTTTAATAATTATGAATATACTGCTTCTCATTGCACATCCTCTTTTCAAAGAGGATGTGCACAAAATCTTTTCAATTGAAGGTAAATAAGGAATGGGCTTCAAATATATTTATAAAATTGTCCAGCAAGAGATACATATTCCACTTCAAACCTACCAGTAGCCCAGAAGTTGCTTTATAATCTGGTCTTTATCTCAATTCCTATGGTTTTACTCTTCTACAACTACCTATGCTATAACTTTTCACTGCTGTTGAGTTTGTTCTGACTCAACTGACCCTCCAGTGGGTTTCTAAGGTTGTAAACTACTCAGAAGAAGCTTGGCCATCTTTCTCTCTCAAAGCCTTGGGTAGACCTGAACCACCAGGGAAACAAAATCTTTGATTTAGCAGCACAAGTGTCTATGGACTGTGTCACCAAAGCTTCCAATGCTGTGGTTGAGTGATTTTTTGTTTGCGTTTCCGAAAGTAACAAGTTTAGGATTTTGGGATTTTTTTTTAAAAACTAATTTTAATGAAAGTTTACAGAGACTTTGTATTTCCATTCATTCTTTGTTGCACACTTTCCTCCCTGCTCACCCTTGCCCCCTAGTTTGCTTTTCTCTTTGAAAGGTAAAACAAAAATAAATTAAAAAATAAAAATTCTTTCATTGTTATACAATCTCTCCCTCCCCAGTCTACTCTACTATGCAGCTTTTATTCTGGACTCTTGTCACGACAATAATACTTAATCCTATATTCCTCCTGAACAATTCTCTCCCTCATCTGTTTCAATGAAGTATACATTATTTAGCCCCTCTTTTCTTATTTTCCCCCTAACCCCGATGTCAGTCTCTCTTTACAACAGTGGCACTATGCAGTATTCATCCTTTTGTGACTGAGATATTTCACTCAGTATAATGTCCTCCAGGGTCACCCATTTTATATAATATTTCATGAGTTCCTTGTTTTTCAATGCAGCATAGTATTTAATTGTGTGAATATCCCACTGCTTCTCTATCCATTTGTTTGTTAATGGGCACCTGGGTTGTTTCCAACTCTTTGCAACTGTGAACAAAGCCGCAATAAACATGGGTGTGCATATATCTGCTTGGGTGGCAGTTTTGGTTTCTTTAGGGTATATTCCAAGTAGTGGAATTACTGGGTCAAGTGGTATTTTTATTTCCAACTTGTTGAGAAAGTGCCATACTGCCTTCCAGAGTGGTTGTATGTATTGTGGTTTTGTTTTGTTTTTTTTTTTAACTGTTATTTTTAACATGCTGAAAGAAATATCTCAGTCACGAAACGACAAATACTCTCTAACATCCCTATTTAGGACTGACATGGAGGGTTAGGGGAAGAACAAGGAAACAGTGGATAGATTCACTGCACTGGAACAGATGAAAGAAAGGACTGTCTGAAAGGAATGCATAATATGCATTATATGTATGTAACTGAGTGGTTTAAATTATGAGTGATGACCCAATGTGGGCTATAACAAGGTCTTTTATAATAAATCAGAAAGAGAGTAATATCTCAATATCATCATAATACCTTCAAGGTGGTAAGTATAACACTTTCATTTCATTATGTGAATATATTTGTATTTGATCATGACAGAAAACTAATTATCTACAAAAATGTCTGAAAGTCCATTTAGTTCCCAGTCTTTATCCCAAATATGGCTTTGACACAGGAAGTACTCTATTAATGTATTAAATAAATCAACAAATATTTTTAGTTTAGTGTATTTATAAAACTTACTAAAATTACTTTATCAATTAAGGCTGTTGTAGATTACCTTCAAATCGAGCACGACTCATAGCGACTCTATGAACAAAGGCCTGAATCCCCTCTACAGCGTGGTTATTTATTTGATTTTTCAAGAATCAGTGAAATAAGGAGAACTGAGGAAACCTAATTATGTTCAAGGTTAAGATAAACAAAATGCATACAAAAGCACAAATATTAAACACTATTTGCTTACCCCTGCGTCCAGGATATACATGAGGATAGTATTCATAATAAAGGTCTGGCTGATCTAGATTTCCAAAGGGTTCAAATTCCATTTCAGCATTCTGGAACAGGCCCAACTTCACCAGTAGTGCCAGCCTTACAAACCAAAGCTAAAAATACAAAATAAAATGGAAACACCAGTTTATTTTAATCTGTATTAAATTTTGGAATTCCTATTTCTAAGTAATTTGATATTGGACTTTGATTTCCACATGTTAAAAAAAATTACAATAATTTCATTTCTTTGTAGTTTTATGCATATAACATACTCTTTTTAATTTTTACTTTTTAAATTATTATTAACAACAGGCTAGGCCCTGGGGTAGGCCTTGTGTGAAATATTAGAAAGCATTCAGCTGAGACTTCCATGTGACCTTAACATACACAAACCCCAGTGTGCCAGACCTGAGTCTTAGCTCTCACAGCATCACATCCTGCCACATCACTACAGGCTTCAACTGGATCAGGTAATATGATATTCACATGCCTGATTTGCTATTAGACATATGACACTAAACTGTCAGTTTGTTGTATATGGGTGATACATTATTCTAATTAGCACAGCACTTGTCTGTCAGTTTGCTGTACTGGGGTAACTTGTGGGTTTCTGTGATGCTGAAAGGTATGCCACCAGTGTGTCAAATGATACAACGGTCACCCACAGTGGACAGATTTTCATAGAGGTCCTAGATTATAAGACAGGTGAAGAAGCAGGATTGGCTATCCACTTCTTAAATAGCAGGCCTCCAAAAACCCTACAGATTTTAAAGGAACATAGATACAGTATTAGAGGTAGGATTGCGATTGGAAGTCAATCAAAATGAAGATAAATAGTGGTAGACATCTTTCAATAACTGGTACAGGGAATGTATGAAACATGAAAGTTGAAAAACCAGAAGTTGTGAAAAATAAAATGGACCACATAAACTACCTTTGGCCACCTTGAATAAGATAATCACATGGTATACTATGCTAGGAATGAAAAACAAAAGATGAATGATATTACATTCACAGTCAAAGAGTCAATTTCAAGTCCTATCCTGAAGTACAATATTGTGTGTGATAGGATATTATCCATATGCATTCAAGGAAGACCTATTAACATGACTAATATTCAAATATATGTACCTGCAGCTAAAGCCAAAGAGGAGGAAATTGAAAATTTTCACCAAGTCTTGCAGTCTGAAATTGATCAAGCATGCCATAAAGATGCATTAATGGTACCTAGTAACTGAAATATAAGAGTTGGGAATAATGAAGAAAGAATGGTAGCAGAAAGTAGGGATTTGGTTATAGAAATAAGCCTGAAAACAGAATGACTGACTTTTTTGTTAAATGATTTCTTCATTGTAAATTGTTGTTGTTGTTGTTATGTGCCGTCGAGTCGCTTGCGACTCATAGCGACCCTATGTACAACAGCCCTAAACTCCGCTCTGTCCTGTGCCAATCGCACTGTCTCTGATACACCCATCCGAACTGCCCAGTCACTGAATCAATCCACCTCATAGAGGGCCTTCCTCTTCTGCGCTATCCCTCCACCCTCCCAAGCATGATGTCCTTCTCCAAGGACCAGTCTCTCCTCACAACATGTCCAAAGTATGTTAGACGGAGCCTCAGAATCCTTGCCTCCAAGGAGCCACCCGGTTTAACCCTCTCCAGGGCAAATCTGTTTGTTTTCCTAGCAGTCCATGATATTCTCAATACTCTTCTCCAGCACCACAGCTCAAAGGCATCAATTCTCCTTCTATCCTCCTTGGTCATTGTCCAACTCTCTGATGCATAACAGGTGATTGCGAAGACCATAGCCTGTATCAGACGCACCTTAGTCTCCAGAGAGACATCACTGCTCTTCAGTACTGTGGAGAGGTCCCTAACAGCAGACTTTCCCATGGCAATGCGCCTTTTAATTTCCTGGCTGCTGGTGCCAAGACTGTTAACTACAGAGCCAAGCAAACTAAAGCTGTGTACAATCTCGATCTCTTCACCATCCATCCTGATGCTGCCAATTGGTCCACTGGTGAGAATCTTTGTCTTCTTGACATTGAGCCTCAATCCATATTGGAGGATGCAGTCCTTGACACTCTGCAGCAGGCGCTTCAGGTCCTCTTCAGTTTCAGCAAGCAGGGTTGTGTCATCCACATAAAGCAGGTTGTTGATAAATCGTCCACCAATCCTGACCCCACATTTCTCCTCATAGAGCCCAGCGTCCCGGATAATCTGTTCTGCATATAGGTTGAAAAGGTATGGAGATAGGATGCATCCCTGGCGTACACCCTTCCCAATTTTGAACCATGCAGTGTTCCCTTGCTCTGTTCTGACGACTGCCTCCTGGTCCAAGTATGAGTTTCGCATTAGAGCGATCAAGTGTTCTGGGATTCCCATTCTTCTCAGAGTCAGCCATAGTTTATAAATTACTTTACCCATGTACCTCACCTGATGGGTTGCATAAGAAACAGACTGACTATATCTGTGGAAGGAACTGCTGGAGAAGCTCAACATCAACAGTGAAAACTAGACCAGGGACAGACTGTGGAACAGTCTCATCAATTACTCATGTGCACGTTCAAATTGAGGCCAAGGAAAAGTAAAACAAGTTCATGAGAACCAAAATATGATCTTCACTCTATTCCACCTGAATTTTAAAATTATCTTAAGAATAGGTTTGATGCACTAAACACCAATCACTGAAGACTAGACAAGTTGTGAGATGACATCAAGGATATCATCCATGAAAAAAGCAAAAAGTCATTACAAAGGCAGAAAAGAAGGAAAAAGCCAAAATGGATGTCAGAAGACACTCTGAAAATTGCACTAACGTGTGGAGATGCCAAAACAATTGAAAACATTTGGAAGTAAAAGAGCCGAGAGAATATTTCAAAGGGAAGCTTGAGAAGACAAAGCAAAGTATTATAGTGAAATGGGCAGACAGCTGGAATTTGGAGATTTAAAGAAAAAGTACTTACTCTGCATTTCTCAGTCTAAGAAAACGAAAAAATTTAAGCCTCGAGTGGAAATACTGAAAGATGCTATGGGGAGAGCTCTGGTGACTTAGTGGCAAGAAGCTGTACTGCAAATCCCAGAGGTGTGAGGTTTGAATCCACCAGAAGCTCTGCCGGAGAAGGAGGGACAATCTCCTGTACTAGTCAGATCTGATGATGGTACACACACAAAAAATAATAAAATTTAAAAAAGAAAGAAAGATGCTATGGGCAATATGTTGAATGACTCAGGAAGGGTCAAAAGAAGATGGAGGGAATACAGAGTCACTGCTGACAGACACTGAAAAATTTCAGAAAGTATCATATAAGCAAGAGATAATGGTAATGAAGGAAGAGGTTGAAGCTACATTGAAGGTATAGGCAAAAATATACGGTCCAGGAATCAATGAGATTCAATTGACATGCTTCAACCAATAGGTCAATGCCAGAATATATGGAGGACAGCTGTCTGGACAACTGACTGGAAGAGATCTAGATCTATATTTGTTCCCATTCCCGAGAAAGGTGATCCAATAGAATGTGGAAACTACTGAACAATATTAATCATATCACATGCAAGCAAAACACTGCTGAAGTTCATTAAAAAATAGCTAGGACAGGACATAGATAGGGAATTGCCAGAAGTTTAAGGAATATCATTTCAGATGTCAGATGGATCCTGGCTGAAAGTAAAGAATACCAGAAGAATGTCTGTTTATGCTTTATTGACTATGCAAAGGCATTTGACTGTGTGGATCACAACAAGTTGTAGCTGACATTGAGAAGAATGGGAATTTCAGAGCACTTAATTGTGCTCATGCAAAATCTATACCTAGACTAAGAAGCTGGTATGGGAATACAGCAAGGGATTATTATATGGTTTAAAATTTGATTACTATATGGTTTAAAATTAAGAAAGGAATGTGTAAGCATTGTATTCTCTCTCCATACCTACTCAATCTGTATGATGGGTAAATTATTCAAGAAGCTGGATTCTATGAAGTATAAAGCGTTATCAAGATTGGAGAAAGTCGCATTAATAACCTGTGTTATGCAGATGACATAACTTCCTGAAACTGAGGATTTGAAGCACTTGTTGCAGAACATTAGAGAATACAACCTTCAATATGGATTACATTTTAATGTCAAGAAGACACAAATTCTTACCACTAGACCTATAGGCAACATCATGACAGAAGGAGAAAAAATTGGAGTTGCCAATGATTTCATCTTCCTTGGATCCATAATCAACATACTTGGTTGGAACTAGCAATCAGGAAATCAGAAGATACTTTGCATTGTCAAAGTCTGCAGTCAGGGAACTCTCCAAATTACTGAGGAGTAATGTGTCAGTTTGAGGACTACCATTTATCTGATTCAGGCCTTGGTCTTTTTAATCACTTACTAAGCATCTGAGAATTGGACAATGAATAAGGATTACAAAAAAAAAGAACTGATGCTTTTGAGCTCTGTTGTTTGGAAAAGAACCAATACATTCTAGAAAAAGTGCAGCCAGAGTGCTGCTTGGAGGCAAAGAGGATAAAACACTGTTTCACATATTTTGGGCATGTTGCGAGGAGAGGCTATTCTTTGGAGAGCACATCATGCTTGGAAATGTGAAGGTTGTCAAAAGAGAGAAAGACCCTCCAACAGGTGGACTGACACAGCTACTGCAGCAATGGCCTCTAGTGTGTCAGGAGGTGTGAGGATGGCACAGAATAGAACAGGGTTCAGAATAGTTGTTCACAGAGTTGCTAATGGTTGTACTTCACTCCGTGGCACCTAACAACAACACAGCATACTCTCTGAACCCAGGAAATAATAACAAATAATTTTATTTTATTACAGTTCATTTAATAAATACTTATTGAATAGAATGCACTAGATACTTTGATGATAAAACTATATAATCCTTTCCCAAAGGAGTATATAATCTGATGGAGGGTTGGGAGGGTGTGATGGAGCAAGGAGATAAGAATACACAAAGTGGAGTGATTACAAGCCTTTCAAGGAAGAGACAGCAAGAACAATCAAGAACAGATTGTGTATAATAAAACAGTGTCTGAGAAAGCTCTGAAGAATAAACATAATTTTGATAGGAAGAGACTACGTGTGGATCTTCCAGGCACAGGAAATGTAACAAAGTCACGCTGAGTGGGATGTATGCAATATGTATGTGAGGATATTAAAGCTACCCAAGTAGTCAGGATTACAGAGAGCATTTACAAAAATGATGGGAATTAAAATTGGAGAGCTACAGAATCAGACACTGTTGGAATTAAATGGCACCTTAAAAATGACCTAATTCAATCATCTCATTTTACCCACAAAGTAAATGAGGCCCAATAGGATATGCTTGTACAAGATCACATCGCCAGTAACACCATTAACAGATGAGAATGAAACTCGGTCTAACATCCTTTTCATTATAGCTTAATGTTTATGGTCATGTTATGGACGGTTTTGTATACAAGATGAGAAGCTTAAATTGAGTTTGGTGGGCAATAGTAAGCTACTGATAGTTTTTGAACAGGAAAGTGAAAATGATCAAAGCTATGCTTTAGGAAAATGACTTTGGTGGCAGTTTACTGAATGCATATGAACAGAAAAATTGGTAACATGCTATCAAGGAAGGTTAAAGCAATGTCCCCATGAGTGCAAAAAGCTGGAGCAGTAAAGAATCTGAGAGAGATGGAAGAAAATCACCTATGAGTTAGCAAACTAATGGATGGAGAGTTGAGGAGGAAAGAGGCATATCGTCTAAGGTTAGAGAAAATTTTCTCATCCTCACTGAAAATTCTTGCTGAGACGCAAGTAACAAACAAAATCTTCAAGTTTTCTGTAAGTTATTCCTCTCAAAAGTTTTTAATTGTTTTGAAATGGCTAGGTGAGTTGCTTCATTCTTTGTGCTTCTATTAATTAGAGTATAAGTTAAAAGAAAAGTATGTTAGAACAAAAGTTAAAACACTCCTCATGAAAATGCAATAATGTAAAGACTTTCACAGGAGCTGTTTTCCTTTCAGAAGAATTTCTTTCACAATTCTCTTTTCTACATTCTATTTGTTTTTCTTCTATTGAGAACAAATGATTCTTTTAAATCTAGGGCTTTGAACTAGAATTTGGTTAAAATATAAATTCAGCAGAGGACTGAACTGGAATGATGGTTTGAGCTATGATGTACCGGGAACAGAAAACAGAAGGCAGAAAGTACTATCCCACCACTGGGGCAGCTATAAATATGTGACCATGGCACTCTTTTGTACTGGGCCTTAATACACCTCAGAAGACTCCCTCTCCCCCCGCAATCTAACAGCAATCTTAAATCATGTTTGGTCATTATTTTGTAGACCAAGTGTTCTGAATACTCTATGAATAAACCTTTAAAGTATACAATACTTGCTTCCCAATAATGTAGTATGAAAACGCCGACTTATATCAGTGTATATTCCATACAATTGGGGAAACATGAACTAGAATAGTCTCATAAAGATATTAAACTAAGGATATGAAAGCTTACTTTTTATTCCAGATTTTTTAATTGGCAACCAAAGCATCATTCTCTTTCATGTCCCAAAACTAAGACAAGCTAGATAAAAATACAGTAATAATAAGGTGTCCTACCTGCAATGAATCAGTTGTGTGACTGGTAGGTAGCCCACTCTTGCCATAGCCTTGACCATGGGCTGTGAGAAGGCGTCCAGAAAGGTCAACTGCTGCCCTCCAGTTTTTGCTGCTCTGTAAGACAAGATGGAACAAGTAGCCAAAAAACATCCCCCTACAAAAGCCTCAAATGAAAACGAAACAAAAAGTAAGTCCACTAAAACTCAAGTTGCTTGCTATCCTAGAAGCTGCATCTAGCTATTAGTAATAATGACAAGGTCAGTCAGTTGTCTGATACAGAAAAGAATGCCATTTGTCAATGTTGCACGTGTAATTAGGCAATAAGGTGAGCCAACCATGAGATACAGTTCAAGATGATCAAATCATAAAAACATTAACATTTAACAACTGACAGAACATAAGGAGGAGACACTGGAAAGTTGTCCACCTCCTTGGGGAATTTGCATGGTGGCTTTTTTTTCCTTCTTCATGTTTTCTTGTGATTTCTAACTATTTAAAAACCAGTAACTTGATTTTATGTTACGTGCTGAACATATTTAATTGCAAATATGTGAATATAATTATACAATTATAAGTGATTTTACATGTTTAACACAATTCTATTCTATGACTGTGAAAAATCATTGAGCTATGCTAATGCAGCATGTTATAGGTCACTCTTTTAACACACAGCACATTTGCTGATTATTATACCTCATAACTTGAGCCATGGAAAGGCTAGCTTACATTGACATACTGGCTCATTAATTTGGACTCTCTTATTATTACTTTTGCCCTTACACAATAAAGAAAGAGAAGGCCTATCACACAAATGAATGAAAAAAAATATAAACACAGACTGTTTTAAATTCTTTCAAGTAACAGATGCAACCCTGAATGGGTACACCAGTTTTTTACAGGAAATATGAAAGACAAATTTCCTGGCTAGCTGACTGGAAAACATCTGTATTTGTTCTGAATCCCAAGAAAAGAAGAGCCAACAGCATGGAAATTATTGAACAATATCATTGTTATTAAATGCAGAAAAAGCTGAAGATCATCCAAAAATGTCTAAAAGAGTACACTGAAAAAGAAGTGCCAGAAAGTTCAAGGTAGATTTAGAAGAAGCTATGACACCAAGAATACCACTGCTGATTGCAGAGGGATCTTGGCTGAAAGCAGAGAACAGTAGAAGCATGTTCATCTATTTTATTGGCTATGTAGAGGCATTTGACTGTAAGGATCACAACAAGCTATGGCTAACATTGAGAAGAATGAGAACCCCAGATCATCTGGTTGTGCTCATGTGAAACCTACAGGTAAAACAAGAAGCTGTTGTTTGAATACAGTATGTTTTAAAATCAGGAGAGGTGTGTGTCAGGGTTGAATCCTTCTCCACCCCTATTCAATTTGTATGCTGAGTAAATAATTCGAGAAGTTGGACTTAAGACAAAATGAGGTAGCATCAGGGTTGGAGGAAGATTCATTAACAACTTGAGTTAGGCAGATGCTACACAAACTTTCTTGGTCAAAGTGAAGAGGAGGACCTGAAGCATTTACTGCAGAAGATCAAGGACTATAGCCTTCAATATGGATTGCATCTCAACATCAAGAAAACAAAAATCCTCATCAATACCAATAAGCAATATGATGATAGATGAATAAAAGATTGAAGTTGTCAACAATTTCATCCTTCTTGGTTCCACAATCAATACCTTTGGTACAGTAAAGAGATTAGGAGACTTATTACATTGGGAAAGTCTCCTGTCAGGGACTTCTTCAAAGCCCTGAAGAACAATGATGGCAGTTTAAAGACCAGCATGTGCAGGCTGCAAGCCATGATCCTTTTCATCACCTGCTAGGAGTCAGAGTAATAAAGATTACAGAAGAACTGATGTCCTTGAATTGTGGTGCTGGAGGTGAATATGAAATAACTCATGGATCCCCAAAACCAAACAGATGTGTCATGGAGAAAGTGCAGCAATAGTGCTCATTAGAGGCAAGGATGGTGAAGCTTCATTTCACATACTTTGGGTATGTTGTTAGGAGGAGCAATTCTTCGAAAGGGACACCATGCTTGGAAAGGCAGAGGGTCAGTGAAAGAGAGGAAGAGTCTCATTAAGATGGATTGACATAGTAACTGCAGTAGTGGTTTCAAGTATGTCAGAGATGATAAGAATGCACAGGATAGGACCAGTTTCAGAGCTTTTATTCATATGGTTGCTATGAATTGTGCTTGATGGCACCTAACTACAAGAAGCTGTATGTGGATGCTTAATGATAAAATTTTTCAATATAATAGCACTATTTTTTAATATTTTAGCTATACCCTTTTTTATGGTCAGTCAGCAAATATGTTTTCAGAAGTATTTCCTACATTATAAAGAATGTGCAAGGTTTTGTGGGCAAGAGGATAAATAGAAGATACATTTATGCACTCATTATACTTATGATCCAGCATTAAATGTTTTAAAATATTAATTAAATGATTGTGTATGAGTAAAGAGTTTCTTAAATTAGATGTCAGGGAAATGAGGTACCACTAAGTATCCTAAGTTAATTTCATTGGGACTGGTGAAAATGAAGTTTAAAATGAGTCCTGCAAGAGAACTAGAAACAAGCTAGGTCAAGAAAGGAAGATAAGACTTGTAGGAGTGAATACGTGGCCATGCCTCCAAGAATAAAGTGGATTGAAGAAACAAATCCAGTATGACAGGAGTTTAGACAGGGAGAAGAAGAGTGGTAACAGATGAAAATTAAAAAGTAGGCAGGATTAAGGGTCATGAGAGAGATTCTAGACTTATCTTAAAACCACTATGTGGTTTCAAGCAAGGAGTAAAATGGTCATATATAGCAAATATGTACTAGATTACACAATACAATATCTGTGTTTTATTGACTGTCTAAAGAGGGGGAAATGGGACACTGGGGCACAGGGCCATGAGCATTTTTCTGAAAAGGCTGTAGGGCATGAGAATAACACAGTCCTTCACTTCCACAGAGAAGAGAGCAGATAAAGGGTCTGTATCCCAATCCCATGGTGCCTCTAGAGACTCACAGACTCATCGTTGTGGTACTGAGAATGGGGCTGATTAGGGAAGTAAGTTGGAGAGTGGAGGAAGCAAAGAATATCACCCAAAATAAGTTCCAAGGTATAATTCCTCAATTAGTCCAGGTTCTGGTTTTAGTTCAGCAGTTCAAATCCAAATCATCCAGCAAGGTTTACCTCAGAGCAGTCAAGAGAGCTCCTTCTTCAAGTATACAGCAAGAAAAGCAAAATCCTTTAACAATGGCCTTTATCTCGGGAATCCTCTAAATATACCTTGCCACAATTTCTCTACAGCACTGCCACAGTTTTTCCAACACATGATCTCATTCTTCCTCCATTCTTCCTCAAGTGTTGCTTCCACACGTCTTGTTTGCCTCAGGCCTTGCTGCCCAGTGTGGGAAGTACTCTTTCCCTTATTCCAGGCCCACAGCTATTGATAATTTGCAAGATCATGCTGATTTGCAAGACCATGTATCTACAGTTAAAGAAATTTGAGACTGCTGACTATAATGGCTTAAAAAAAAAGGCCAACTTTAAGGCTAACATCAAATTGACTATGCAAAGGCATTTTATTATGTAGATCATAATAAGCCGGAGATGAAAAGGTGAGAAAAAATGGGGTCATATTCATAATTAAAGAGGGCACTTCTAGATGCATCTTGAAATACAATGTTGTGACTGACTGGATAATACTCATACATATACAGGGAAGTCAGATTAATACCACTATCATTCAAATATAGGCACTAAAAATCAGAGCTGAAGAAGGAGGAAAGATGATTTCTACCAACTTTTGCAGTCAGAAATCGACAGAACATGCAACCAAGATGCATTAACAATAATGGGTGACTGGAATACAAAAGTTGGTAATAGGGAAAAAGGATCAGTAGTTAGAAAGCATGGATGTGGTAAAAGACGTGAGGCTGGGAATAGAATGACAGAATTTGGTACAATCAATGACTTATTCAAATACCTTTTATAAGAAACATAAATGGCAACTAAAGACATTGACTTCATGTGACAGTACACACAGGAATCAGATTGACTACATCTGTAGAAATAATTGATAGAGAAGCTCAATATCAACTGTGAAAATTAGCCAGGTGCTAATTGTGGGACAGACCCTCAACTACTCATATGCAAATTCAAATTAAAGCTAAAGAAATAAGATCAAATCAACAAGAACAAAATTTGACCTTGAGTCTATACCACCTGAATCCAAAAATCACTTCAGGAATAGGCTTGAGACTCTGAACACTAATGAATGAAGACCAGATGAGCTGTTGGAGAATATCAAGAATATAATTCATGAAGAAAGCAAAGGAATACAAAGACAAAAGACAAAGACAAGACTGAGATGAGTATCAGTAGAGACCCTGAATATTACACTAGAGCACTGAGAAGCTAAAGCAAAGGGATAGAATCAGTAATTAGAAGAGCCAAACAGGAGTTTTCAAAAAGGCCGCTTGAGAAAACAAAGTAAAGCATTATAATGAATTATACAAAGAGGTGGAGTCAGAAAATCAAGAGGCTGAACCCATTCAGCATTTCTTAAGCTGAAGGAACTGAAGAACAAATTCAAGCCTCAAGTTGCAATACTTAAGGATGCTGTGGGACCGAATATTGATGATTCAGGAAGTATTAAAAGAAGATTGAAGAAGTATACAGAATCAATGTACCAAAAAGAAGTGGCTGACACAAAAATTTCATGGAACAAAATATGATCAAGAGGCAATAGCAATAAAAGAGGAAGTTCAAGCATCTCTGAAAGCAAAAATACACGGCCTAGGAATTGATGGCAAACCAAATGACACACTTCAGCAAACTGGATCACAACAAACAGTGGCTAACTTTGAGAAGAATGGGAAACCCAGAACACTTAACTGTGCTCTTAAGAAACCTACACTTGGACCTGGAAGCAGTCCTCAGAACAGAGCAAGAAAACACTGCATGGTTCAAAAACAGTGTGTCAGGGATAAGTCCTGTCTCCATACCTTTTCAATCTATATGTGCAACAGATCATTTGGGAGGCTGGGTGTTAGGACAAGGAATGTGTTGCAGGCAACTCTATAGCACACAACAACAA